CAAGCCAGTGACGGTCAGCAGGCCCGTGCCGGTCACCAAGCCAGTGACGGTCAGCAGGCCTGTGCCGGTCACAAAGCCCATATCGGTCACCAAGTCTGTGCCAGTCACCAAGTCTGTGCCGGTCACCAAATCTGTGCCAGTCACCAAACCGGTGACTGCAAACAAACCGGTGCCGATGACAAAACTTGTGACAGTTACAAAATCCATGCCAGTCACAAAGCCGGTGACGGTCAGCAGGCCCATTGTGGTCAGTAAGCTGGTGACGGTTGGCAGGCCCATAGCCATCAACAGACACACACCGTCCTGCAAAATGGTGCTGCTCACCAAGTCTGAGAACAAAACTCCTCGAGCCACGGGGAGGGGCAGTGGTAAGAAAAGGTACGGGGGCTCCTTCCAGGTTGGGGGTTGGGGTACTCCCCAGCCGTAGCCTGGGGTAATGGGGCCCAGAGTGCGCCTTCCTGTGCCTCACCTCCCTGCTCCCTGGCAGGGCTGCGGACGGCCTGGACACCTGCCCCATCCCACCCAAGCAGGCGAGGCCAGAGAACGGGGAGTATGGGCCGTCCACCACGGGCCAGAGCTCGGCCTTCCAGCTGAGCACAGACTCCAGCAGTGGCACCCTTTCCCTGGGCAACAGATCTTTGGGGGGCAAGGAGGCACTGAGGGCCACAGGCCCTGTGTCCCCACCTGAGGAGGGAGCGGAGCGCACAAAGCACAGTAAGACGAGAGCGGGGGGCAGACGGCCAGGGTGGGGGCAGCGGCCGGCCTCCCGATGGTTATTTGACCAGAATCTCGGTCCCCGTTTTCTCTCCCCCGAGTCAGGAAGGAAACAGAAAACACCCAAGAAGTTTACGGGGGAGCAGCCATCCATCTCAGGAACCTTCGGACTCAAAGGTTAGGCCCCAGCCGTCCGGGCACCTCTGGGGCTGGGCTGGTGCAGGGTGCTTGTGCCCTAGGCCCACACCTGCACCTCCCCACGTGTGCACACAGGCCTGGCCAAGGCTGAAGACAAATCCCGCGGCTACCGCACCAAGAAGCAGGAGGGCCCGAGCCCTGAGGACGTCCGGAAGAAGGTGCAGGCCCCCACCAGCACCATCAGCAAGGAGGTGCCGGCCCCTGTGGCCCACCCGGCCCCAGGTGGGGGCTGCTGTGTGGTAGGGCCCGGGCCAGGTCTCGACTGTGGGGCATGTTCTGTAGCACACGGATGGGGGGCTGGGCGTGGACCCTGGGTCCTGCACTTGGCATCCAGGGCGTCTGGGAGCCCCCGCCAGCCCCTGAGACCCCGGCCCTGCCCCACAGGTGGTCCTGAGGAGCAGTGGCAGCGGGCCATCCATGAACGGGGCCAGGCTGTCTGCCCCACCTGCAGTGTTGTCACCCGAAAGACCCTCGTGGGGCTCAAGAAGCATATGGAAGTTTGCCAGAAGGTAAGGCTGCCCCGAGAGAGCCAGGAGGGGCGGTGCCCAGGGCCAGCTTCTCATGGGCAGGGCCACGTCTGCAGCTGCAGGATGCGCTCAAGTGCCAGCACTGCCGGAAGCAGTTCAAGTCCAAGGCCGGCCTCAACTACCACACCATGGCTGAGCACAGCGCCAAGGTATGACACTGGGCCCAGCTGCCGCCCAGCCCTGATCCCTGACCGCCCACTCCACGCCACCCCACCCCACCTGCCCAGCCTCAACCACTGACCTTTCACACCGCACTGTGGCAGAGCCTAGTGGCCCCAGGCCTGACCGTGGACGCGGGCAGGGGCAGGGGCCCTGTGGCAGCGGGGGCACTGAGGCTGGGCCTGCCCCCAGCCCTGTGCCTCCGGGGCCTCCGAGGGCAGCGAGCAGGAGGAGCGGGAGAGGCTGCGCAAGGTGCTCAAGCAGATGGGGAGGCTGCGCTGTCCCCAGGAGGTCAGTGGGCAGCACAGGTGTGGGGCACCTGGGGGGTGGCCCGGCACAGCCACTGCTGGCCACTTACCAGCCCCTGACCCCCAGGGCTGTGGGGCTGCCTTCTCCAGCCTCATGGGTTACCAGTACCACCGGCGACGCTGCGGGAGGCCGCCCTGTGAGGTGGACAGTCCCTCCTTCCCCTGCGTCCACTGCGGCAAGACTTACCGCTCTAAGGCCGGCCACGACTACCATGTGCGCTCGGAGCACACGGCCCCGGTGAGTGACTGGGCCTGCTCTCCTCAGGCACCAAGCACGGTGTCCATGTGCGCTGTGTGTGCGCCCCCTCCCACCATGGGCCACATGCGTGGGGGGTGAGCCCGGGCACCCCGCTTCTCGTGTCCCCTACATGCTCACTCGCATGTGGCTCCTGCCGCTTACCCAGACCTCTTCACCCTGCAGCCCCCCGAGGAACCTGAGGATAAGCCTGCCGAAGCTGAGGACCTGCTGGGTGTGGAGCGGACCCCCAGCGGCCGTGTCCGCCGTACCTCAGCCCAGGTGGCTGTGTTCCACCTGCAGGAGATTGCGGAGGATGAACTGGCCCGAGACTGGACCAAGCGGCAGATGAAGGATGACCTGGTGCCCGAGACCGCACGGGTGAGCCACCCAGTCTCAGCAGGATGGACCTCAGCATGGGGCCCCTGTGACCTGGGCCACCTGCTGACCTCCCCAGGTTCACTTCTCTCTGTGGGGAGGCACAGTCGAGGGTCTCCTTGGAGCAGCTGGTGGTGTCCAGGCTCAGCTCTGGCCCAGCGGCCCGGACCCACCCTGGTGCCTGCCTGTTTTTACAGCTCAACTACACTCGGCCAGGCCTCCCCACACTCAACCCCCAGCTGCTGGAGGCATGGAAGAACGAAGTCAAGGAGAGAGGCCACGTCAACTGCCCCAATGACGTGAGCTGGGGCGGGGTGGGTGTGGGGGCACTAGGACTTCAGGAGAGAGAGCCCCGGTGTGGTCCTGCGTGGGAGCCTTCCAAGTGCCAACCTACCTCTGACCCCTGGGCCCCTGCAGGGTCCTCAGACAGAACCCTGTTGGCAGAAAGGCCTCAACCTCAGCCCCAGAGGCCCAGTCTGCCACACCCCAAGGTGACTGGGGTCAGGCCTTCCCACTTCCCAGAGTCCCCAGTCTGGGCCAAGGGTTACATCGTTGTGTGGGGGCACTGCTGGAGGTCCTCCCCCATGACTGTCTCCTGCCTCCAGTGCTGCGAAGCAATCTACTCCAGTGTGTCCGGCCTCAAAGCCCATCTTGCCAGCTGCAGCAAGGTCAGTCCCCAGGGACCCCCACACATTGGGCATGAGACCCTACCCCTGTGCCCGATAGCCATGCCAACCCAGCCCAGCACACTTTGCCATCACCCAGCCCTAGCCACAAATTGGTCAGTCTTAAGTTGTCCTGCCCATGGAGGCTCATCTGTGTGGGTACAAGTGGACATGCTGACCTGACCCTGGGGTGAGGGCCCTCTGCAAAGGGCTGCGACCTTCCCCTGGGTGCCAGCCTCTTCCCACCCTCATGGGTCCCTGAAGTCCTCCCATTGGGCACCCATCCAGGTAAGCTGTGGCTGCCTTACTTTGTCACGGCACAGGTGGGGGTCCTGGCTGGAGCTGGATGCTTCTGGTCCCCACAGGGTTGGGCAGGGGTCCCACATCTGGGGGCTGAGAGCTTGTGTCTTGCAGGGGGACCATCTGGTGGGGAAGTACTGCTGCCTGCTGTGTGCAAAGGAGTTTAGCTCTGAGAGCGGCGTCAAGTACCACATCCTCAAGGCCCACGCAGAGGTGGGCGGGGCGGGGCGGGGCGCTGAGGGTTCCAGGCGGGGTGGTCGCCCATGAGGGATCAGGCCACGGCGGAGTGGCCAGCATTGACAATCCGGCAGTTTCTTTTTAGAGTGGCTCCCGGCTTCTCTGGGAGAGCCGAGAAGCTTGGGTGTCCCTCTTCGGGTGGGTCCTCTGCTACCAGCCACGTTGGCTCAGTGGCGCGCCTGCCCTAGGTTCTCCGTCGCTGCTTTTCTCTCCCCAGAACTGGTTCCGTACTTCAGCAGACCCGCCTCCCAAACACAGGACCCAGGACTCATTGGCACCCAAGAAGGAGGAGAAGAGGCTGGCAGGTGGGAAGAAGCGAGGCCGCAAGCCCAAGGAGCGGCCCCCCGAGGAGCCTGCCCCCAAGATGCCCCCCTGCCAGGACGATTGGCCCTCAGGAGGCAGAGACAAGGGGGCCCGGGGCTCTGCTGGCCGGAAGGTGGGAGCCGGCAAGGTGCCCGAGAAGTGAGCATGGTGGCTGGCAGGTGGGTGGGGCCCAGTCCCCACGCTGGCCACCAGGTCCGCCTCTGTCCAGAGTGTGGGTAGCTAGCTCCAGGAGTCCTGCCCTCCAGTTCTCCACCCCCCACCCCTGCCTATTCGTCTCTCCCCTCTCTGAAGGTGGCCCTTCTCTTGTGCAGGCTGCTGCAGGGCATGCCTGGGCTGGGGCTCTCTGGGGAGGGCCAGTGGCAGCAACAGAAGTGCAATAGCCTAGAGGGACATCCGTGGACCTGGCAGAGTCTGGTCCTGGACGGCAGGAGGCGTCTGCGCCTGGGCCTCGGTGCCACGGGGCGGTGCAGAGCGGCCGGGGGTCTTTTGGCCCTCATCATGCAAGCTGCGTGCCTCGTCTGCTTCCTCGGGCCCAAGGCTCGGGGGTCCCTGGTTCTGCGCTGATGAGGGTCCCTGAGCAGTCTCGCCTCTCTACCCAACACTGGAACCCCAGCACCCCCAGCTACCTCCCAGGACAGACCCTGAGTCTGACCTCTGCCGTGCTGACCTGACAGTCCTCCCCCATCTCCCTGCCTCTGGTTTTCCTGCTTCTGCTCTCTACCTCTCCAGCACCCCCACCTGTGCGACCCCTGCTGTGCTTGGGCCCCTGCCCCCGGCCTGTGTCCATGGTGGGGGGAGGCGGCCCTGCTGACGGGGGCTCTCCACCATCCCGTTGGGCTCCCTGCTTGGGGTGAGAGAGGGGCTCTGCTTCTCCCACTTGCAGGGCTGCAGGAATAGGGGTTCCAGGCTCATGGGAACAGCTGCCAGCCCTGGGGGGGGGGGTCAAGTGGCACATGTTCTGCCGACATCACTGGCCTGGGTCGGGTCAACCTGACGGGTTAGGGATGGGCAGTCTGGGCTCTAGGGTCGACCTGGGCCCCACTGGCATGTGAGGCACAGAGCTGGGCCCGGCTCTGAGTGACCACTGCAGGCAGCAGCCTTGTGTCTGCTGTCCTGGGTTGGCCTGTGGCTAAGCTCCCATGGGCGCCCCCTGCTCACTTTTTCACTGTCTCTTCCTTTCTGGCTGTGTGGTCTTTTGATACGAGAGCTGAAGGCCAGGGAGGGCCTTGGTCAAGGTCACAGTGGTTCGATGGGAACGCTGGGCTCTGCCTTGGCTCCCTTTGGGGCCCTGTGGACGGCTAGATCTGCAGGTTGGGCGGGGGGTCGGGCGGAGTCCAGGGCACCTGGAGGGAGTGGCCTCCTCCCTGGGCCCTGCCTTCACACTGTGCAGGAGGAGGAGGTCCCGCAGAGCTGCTGGGTTTGGATGGAGGCTGTTTTCCACTGGGGGGTGGGGGTGGGCTGAGGGCTCGGCCTTGCCGATCCTGGATGATGTGAATTTTGATATTTGCCCGTGTGCGTGTGTCTCCTGGGTGTGTAGTGAATGCCAGTCTTGTTGCTGTGACAAGTAACAACCTTTTTTTTATTCTGTTTTTTATACAAAAAAACTTACAACAATCTGACATTTTGGTGCTAAGGGTTTCCTGGTGCCGATGGTGGATGGCCTGGTCCCTGGGGTCCCTCTCCTGCTCAGGGAGGCAATGCTGACTGGGCACCCTGCTGCCCCCCAAGCTGCCGTCCTCATCCAGCCCCTGGAGAGGAGGGGCTCCAAGCTGGGCTCAGCTCTCCTGGCCCTGCAGGAGGGCGACAGGTCCCTGGAGCTTTGGGGCCAGGGCGTAGCTCTGCCTGTGTCCTGCTTCTTCCTTTGGCCAGAAGGCTCTGACCCTGGGCAGACCTGTCCTGATGTGCTAGGGAAGGAGAATGGCGATGGGGCCTCCTCTCCACTCACACATACCTTGATCTGATCATGGGGGAGGTATGGGCACATGGGTGTGATCCAGTGTCAAAGGTCAAGGCGAGGTGGCACAGGCAGAGCTTTGGGGCAGGAGGGCTTTCTTTCCTGTGCTCTGGGTGTCACTATGGTGTACAGCTGGTGGAGATGGGCCAGGCAGCCACTGCAGGGGCAGCCTGACGAGGGGAGGTGGGGACAGGCACTGACAGGAGCCCCAGGTACACTTTCTCTGTCCTTGTCACCAATGGCTGGAGGAGGTTGGACCATAACACCTCTGCTGGGGGACAGCTGCCCGCCCCAGCCTCTCAGGTACTTGGCCCTTGGGGAGTGGGGGCTGGTTTTTGCTGGGGGGTGAGTTTCCAGGTCACCTCCCAAAGTCCACAGATGGTCCCTGGTGTGGGAACCCCACCTAGGTGTGTGGGGAGAGGTGGGGTCCTGGATAACTTGATGTTTAGCACTTTAACCCCCTTCTTTGTCTTTAAAGTGGGCGTGGGGGCTGCTGCCAAAAGTGGCTATTGGGTCGGACCCTTCTCTCTACCCCCCCCCCCCCCCCCCCGCCCCATTCTTCCCTCCCTGCTTCCTGTGCTGTGGTTGGTGAGTGGCGGTGGCAAACTGTTTTGCAGAGCCCTCTGAAGTGGGCAGAGCCCTGGGTGGCTCAGCAGGGTCTGCCCACCTCCCACTCCAGTGTGAACACAGCCAGGTAACCGCCTGGCCTTGACTGACACCTTCAGTGAGAGGGACCAGAGTGGCAGACTCCCAGGGTGTGGTGGGCATGGACTCTGCCCTACACCTAAGCCTCGGGCACAGTGCTGGTCCCATCCTGAAGATCTACCTCTGGTCCAGCCCATCCCCCCTGCCCTGAGGACAGGAAAGGGCCCACTCAGGGGGCTGTCACTTCACACAAAAATAGGATTGCACTTTATTTGCTTGTGCAAAGGCAGATGAGGGTGCCTCCTGGTGTGACCAGTGGCCCTCCAAGCCGTAGCCCCTCCTGTACCTGTGGTTCAGAAGGGAAACAACGGGTGCGCCCTGACTCAAGGAGGGCAGGGCTGTCCCCACTATGCAGGCCCCAGGTGGCTTGCCCTGGAGCCCTGGGGTTCAAGGGGTTCGGCCAGCACCTCGGGCCTGGTAGCCACACGTCCTGTGCTTTGGGTTTCTTGGTTTCGTTATTTTAATGCCAGTTTTCCGTACATAAGTGCATTTTGAAAGAGAGGTTCCAGCTATCACTTGTAACCATATATATACATATATATTCTATCTACAAAGTGTTTATTTGCAAGATGTTTTGACGGTGAGCTCGGGCCCTGCCCGCCTTGTGACCATCTGTCCCCGGTCCTCGTACCTGCCTCCAGGCCCCGAGTGGCGCGGGGGCGGGCCATCAACTGTATGTATTAAAAATGACTGTATCAAATAAATGTTTATTGATTTTTTTCCAGGGGTTGAATGCGGCTGAGTTTGTGGTAACGCCCTGGGTGGGGGTCCTTCCCCGGACGGACGAAGTCCGCACATGGCCGTGCAGCCGAGTCCCCAGGCCTCAAGGCCTCGTGGGACTTGTAGTCCGCGCGGCGCGCCAGCGGGGAGCGGCGCGGGGCTCCGAACCACAGCTCCCGGCGGCCTGTGCGGCCGGCCCCGCCTGTTCGCCCCGCGCGGAGGCCTCTGAGCTCCATGGCGGCGCCCCCAGCCTCCGCTGACACCCCTTGTTCGCCCCCGCCGTCCCCAGCGGCTGGAGACGGGCCCGACCGGCCGGTGGCGAAGAGCGAAGCCGCGTGCGAAGACCGGTAGGCGCGGCGGCCGAGCGCGGGCTTGGTGGCGTCACGCACGCCCCTCGAGCCCACTGTGGGAAGGGGCGGCCCACGTGAGCCGGAGCCCCAGCCCCAGGCCGTTTTTCAGAGGCGACCCCAACGAGCTGGGTCTGGCCAGCTGGTGCCCCCGGATGCGGTGGGAGGGTCCCTGGGGCCTTGCGGGAGCGAGCTTGCGCGTCTGCACCGCTTTTCCTGGACGGCCAGCGGGAAGGGGCTCGTGGGTAAGGCCTGCGTGGGGCTCATTGCAGGGAGCGCGTGCTGCACCCAGAGGTTGACTTTGGTTTCTGTCCCGAGGGGACGGGGCCCGTTGGCATCCGGGCTGCAGTGTGTGCCCGCCTTACGCTCCGACGTGGTCAGCTCTGGGATTCGCACGTACTCAGGATCGGCCCCACCCCACTAAGAGGCCAGGGGCTGTGATCATGGTGCTCTCTGACTGTCTCGCCTGATACGGGGGCGGGGGGGGGGTGCGCTCCGGGGGGCGTTCTAGGCTTCTGTGGGGACTTTGCAAGAGGGAAAGTTGTGAGGGGTGGGGGTAGCCGTTTTCCCACCCGGGCTGGGGAGGGCAGTGGCCAAGAGGAAAGAGGCTAGCTGCCTCGGGGCCAGCGCCACCAGGGGGCGGTGGCAGAGCAGTGCTGGGGCCTGCCCCCTGCGCTTGAAGACTGGCTCCTCACTTCTGGGTCTGAACTGTTCCCATGGGGCGCCAGAGGAAAGGGTTGTTCCAGCCTGGACCCCTAGTCCCCGGGATCGGGTGGGCACTCGGAAGCAGAAACGCTGCAGCCCTGGAGGGTCTGTGTGCTGCCAGTGGAGCCCCTTCATGGGCAGGGAGAGGAAGCCGGGCAAGGGGTGCTCTGCAGTGGCCGCTCATCTCCAGAAGCATCTGTGTCCTGGGCTCACACCCTCCCAGTGAGCAGGGACTAGGGGCCTGGCACAGGGTGTCAGGGTCTAATAAGACCTGAGTCTGTGACACCTGCTGGTTCCAAAGAATCTTTGATTTAGTCCAAGATCAGTGAGGGCAAGGCCAGTTAAGTTGTTGAGAAAAGCATTGTCTGAAGACATGGGTTGGTGGCAGCTACTGTCTGGACCCCTCATGGTGCCTGGGGAGACAGAGGTCATCTCGGGTCATGGTCCCCAGTGGACAGAAGAGGGAGCCAGGACCTGAGGTCAGTAAGTGTGGACTTCCCAAGGCTGCGGGGTCTGTCCTCGAACTGCCTCTGCTCACACCGTCCCCTGGTGCTGGCGCCCTGCAGGCCTCCTCTGCCCTGTTCCTCACGTGCTTGCCCCCAAGGGCCCGAGAGCCGGCTCCCGTCGGAGCCCCTGACCACTGTTGAGTTTCTTCCACATCACTGCAGCCACGTGGATGGGGTCCGTTTACCTTGGCATTGCTTCTTGTGCCCTCTAGAGGGGTCAGCCCCATGAGGATGAGCCTGGGACTCCCTGAGCACTGGACGTGCTGGTGCACGAATAGGCACCTGTGGCAGTACCTGCACTTCTCAGGCCGTCTCCTGGTGCAGTCAGATGGAGATGAGGCTGCAGCTGTTGGTGCAGGGATGAGGCCCAGAGCAACGGGGAGGCGGGGTCCTGCAGGGGATTTTCCAGGGTGGGGAGGTGGGGGCAGTGCTGGTCCCTAGAGCCTATCTCAGTGCTTTTGGGGCTGCAGCCTCCCAGCCCCCCAGTCCTCCACCTGCCCTGATACCTCTCATTGAGCCTGTCTGGGCCCCCTGGGGCCAGGCCCTAGTGGACCAACTCCTTCCTCTGGCCTCACTTGACTCACCCGGCAAAATTCCCTACTTCAGAGGAGACCCTGGCACTGCCTGCCCCAACTCTGCATTTCTGCCCAGGACAGCACTAGCCCCTCTGAGTGTGGGCCAGCCCCTGCCCGTCAGCCCAGGCGGTGGGGTCAGGTGGGAGAAGTTCCTGTGGGCAGTGGGCAGTGAACAGACGGGCGCCTCTGGCGGGGGGCGCAGACACACACCCATTTACCTGGGCAGCCAGGAGAGGCCCTTCTCAGGTGTGTGAATCCCACGTGGAATTGCCTCTCCCCGGAGCCTATGCCAGCCCCAGAGCAGCGTTGGAAGCTGAGTCAGGAGGAAAGCTGACATGCATGGGAGGAAGCGGGGACCTGTGGACGCAAACCCCTTTATAGGCTTGAGGAGAGAGACTTGAGCTGACCCACCCTTGCTGAACCTGCTCTGCCTCCTGCTGCTGGGCTGGGGAGTGGCTGGGACCCCCCCAGCGCTGAGCCCTGCGTGGCCTTGGGGGATACTCCAGCCTTGGAGGGGGCGGGGCAGGCAGTTATTCTCATGCGCAGGAGGGTAGGGTTTCAGATTTGTTTATGCCTCTAAGAGGCACCTTGGGGACAGGGTTGGGACGCCCAGCTCAGCATTGCCATTCAGCTCAGCGTGGCCAAGAGACACCTCAGATTTCACTTTTCCACTGGGGGCTGTTGGCTCTGCAGGCCCAGGCAGGCCAGGGGTCTGGAGCATTTTCCAGGGTGCTGGGGAGGGGTGCACAGTGGCCCTCAGCCAGCCCACGCACCAGAGGGGCCCTTTCTCCTGAGGCTGGCCTGCGCTCTGCCTGGGCCATGCCAGCCTGTTCTCTTCAGCAGGGTCAGTGCTATTAATACCAGGCGGGTGCACAGCCCCCAGCCAGTGATCCTCTTATGCCTATGACCTCGGTCCCTGGGGCCAGGGTGAGTGCTGTTCCTTCGGCACAGGGACTCCCTGCCTCCCAGCACGCAGCCTTTGCCAGCCAGGCGCCGGATCCCACCAGGTTCCTAAGCTCTGTGCCACCCGCTGTGGAGGAGCGATTCAGGTGGCTCCTGGGCTGTCCGGGACTGCTGTGGGTCTGAGGCAGCACACTAGTGGCCCTGCTCACAGCTCGGGTCCGCACGTCCCAGCCATGAGCAGCCCCCCTGCTTACCCTGGCATCAGGATCTCGGGGTGCTGGGCCCTTGGAGCAGACAGCAGGTGAGTGGCAGGCCTGTTATCCCACAGCTGTGGTAAGGAGACCGTGTCCCCTGCGTGTCGGCTGTCTCTCTGGCTCAGTCGGTGCATGTCTGGGTGACGGGCGCCAGGGAGCAGATAGCCAGGCAGGTGCTGGGGGTGCACTGGTCTTGCTTGGGGCTGCTGGTTACGGGTGGGGCTGTCGGTGTGGCTCCCAGTCCGTTGGTTGCAATTGCCTGTTGTCTACCTGTGAATGGGGACTGGGGTCTCCATGACACTTTCGCATCTTGAAGTTGGTCCCGTCGTGAAAATGGAGTGAGGCTTGCTCTGAGGGCACAGGGAGGCTCTGTCCCTGATGGTGGGACGGGCTTTGGAGAAGGCAGTGGGCTGGGCTTGGCCGCAGACCCAGCCTGACGCTGCCCGGGTCCCTCGTGAGCCAGAGGAGGGGCGGATTTCTGGCACAGTGGTCCCCAGCGACTCCTCCTCCCAGGAAGGTGTCCATCCCGGGTCATCAGCACCGCAAGCCAGAGTCGTCCTCGGTGGTAGTCACCTCAGTAGGACACGGAGCAGCCACAAGTATGGGCCCGAAGGCTCCTGATGGAGAGGCCACCAGACAGGGGCCATGCTAGCCCCAGGCCTCCGCTGTCCCGCGTCTCCCCTGTGCAGCGGTCCGCACAGCCCCCTGCAACCCAGCGTTGCCTGTTGGGTTCCTCCCTGAGGGGAGGCATAGAGGGGAGGGGCTGGTCTGGACTTTGTTCTCTGCCACCACGCCTCCAGGGCCACTTGGAGCTCCCTGCCCTCTGCTGTGGGATCCTCCACCTGCCACTTCCCAGTGTGCGGTCACCTGCTGGGAGGGCAGGTCGGTGGGCCCCACGGCCCATGCTCACTGTTGCTGGACAAGTGTATCCAGGAGACCAGCCGGCACCGGCCCTGACGGACTGCTGGTGTCTGTGTGTCTCCTGCTTGGCTGAGGGGGAGTGTGGGCGGCACCCCTTGGACGGCTTGTGCGCGTCAGGCTGAGTCCCCCACACACTCGCTGTCAGGTGGCCGTGCTGCGGGCTGCCCCAGGCCCACCTCACTGCCTGGTCACCTTTGCACCCACTATGTTGTTAGCACTCAGCCCCGCCATGGACACACGAGGGCCCTGGTCCCTCCAGGGTGGCAGAGCACACAGGCCAGTGACTCCTGGGGCTCGCTCCTGACGGCACGCTCCTGGCCATGGAGGGGTAGCAGCAGCTCGGCCGGTGCCCTCTGTCCCCCAGGAGGTGCTGCATGTCTCCTGTCAAGTGTGATGAGTGGCTTTCTTGCTGCTTAGATTTGTGCCGACGTCGTCCTCTGTGCCCTCAAGAGCTGCTGCCGTGACTTGTCACATGCTAGGTTTCAGCTAACTCCTTCCACCGCCCCCACCCCCCACAGGCGCACAGACAACGTCCCCCCGGCCCTGGGCATAGTGGGCTTCCGAGAACAGCGTTTTTAAGCTGGAGACGCTCAGGCCAGCCCAGAGGCAGAAAGGTGCTTGTCATGGCCCTGGGCAAGCTGGTGCTGCCCTGGCTGGGCCTTTGCCTACGGCTGGGTTGTCAACACCTATGCTCTGGCACCGCGGGTTGTCGTGGTGACAGGGCTGCAAGCTTCAGAGACAGACCAGGGCTTGGCCTGGTTTTGGATAACAGGGGCCTGTGCTTACAAAACCTTCAAGCGTGGCAGAGCCCGTTCCGAATCTCGGCACCCAGGGCGACCCTGGCACGTCTGCTTCTAGCTTGTTCTGTGCACTCGCGCCCTCATGGCACGTACCTGAGGGGCACGCACCTGGCGTTGGCTGGTTTTACATAAATGGATCCCGGCTTAGAGTTGGCTCTCTCACCTCCTCACGCTTCCAGGACACCTGCGTGTCTGTCCTTCGTAGGTGTTTCCCAAGCAGGCCGCTCCGCCCCCTGAGCCTCCCAGAAGCTGTCCCTGTCAGGGTTTGAGGCCTTAGGCCATTCACACTGGTGCCCCTTTAGGGTGTAAACCGACAGAGGTCAGCATGTCCACTCACACGGGTGACGCATCGTGGGTGTCTGTGCCTTTCCTACATTGAGCTCTCCACCTTGCAGCGTGCTGGAGGGCAAGAAGCAGTGGCTTCCCCGTGAGTGTCCCAGCCCAGGGTCCCCCTCCTGCGTCCGTCCGCATCACCACCCTGCTCAGCCCTCCTGCCAATGGCCTCTCGGGGGGAGTCTCCCTGTGTGCCTTGCAGCATGACAGGGATTGGATCTTACAAAACGAGGGGGCTGCCCAGAGGGTCCTGGGAGGGGACGCAGCCCTTGATGGGGTCTTCTGTCCTTGGCGTTGGATGGCGCTCCCCTTGCTTGTTCCTGTCATTGTTTACTGTCCCTCTAAACCTGTGTGAACGGTGTGACTGAGGCCACACAGGCCCTGTGGACGGGTGGCAGGCGGTGCCCGTGTGCTGCGTGGGCAGTGTGCCACATACTGGGCCTGACACGGGTGCAGGAGGCTGCTGGCCCTGGGCCCAGGCAAGCCTGTCTTCCCCCAGCAGCAACGTGGAAGCCTTGGACAGGCTCCTCCCACCCGTGGGTGCTGGACGCTCGCCCCGGAAGCGCACCACCAGCCAGTGCAAGTCTGAGCCGCCCCTGCTGCGCACCAGCAAACGCACCATTTACACGGCCGGGCGGCCGCCCTGGTACAATGAACACGGCACGCAGTCCAAGGAGGCCTTCGCCATTGGTGAGTCGGCGGCCAAGGCCACCATCTGCCCGTCACCCCCAGTCGGGTGGGTTAGGCAGGACCTGCCCACCATCAGATGCCAGGGCTGGTGTTTCCGCTGACCTAGGTTGCCTCGGGGCCCTCGGTCACATGTCGGGCCTGGGGGGGAGTTGGCGACTTGGTGGGAAAGGGCTGTCCTGCCCTTGCCCACTGTGGGACTCACCTATGAGGCCGGCTCACATGGTTCCACTGCCCCCGCAGGCCTGGGAGGCGGCAGTGCCTCTGGGAAGACCACCGTGGCCCGGATGATCATCGAGGCCCTGGACGTGCCCTGGGTGGTCCTGCTGTCCATGGACTCCTTCTACAAGGTGAGGGGCGCCCCTGGGCGTGCAGCAGCCATCCCCAGGGCACCCACCCACCCAGCCGCTCCCCGCAGGTGCTCACCCGGCAGCAGCAAGAGCAGGCCGCCCTCAACAACTACAACTTCGATCACCCGGACGCCTTCGACTTCGACCTCATCGTGTCCACCCTGCAGAAGCTGAAGCAGGGCAAGAGCGTCAAGGTGCCCGTGTACGACTTCACCACGCACAGCCGCAAGAAGGACTGGGTAGGCCCACGGGGCTGGGGCTGCGGGGCCGCCTGGACGCGGGCGGGCACGAGCACGGCGCCTTCCCTTTGCAGAAGACGCTCTACGGCGCCAACGTCATCATCTTTGAGGGCATCATGGCCTTTGCTGACAAGACACTGCTGGAGGTGAGGGCGGGACTCGGCTGCGCTGTCTTTCTGAACACCTCCAGTTTGCCTCCTCCAGGCATCCCCAGGGTGCAGTCACTGGGCGTGGGGACTGGCCCCTCTCCCGCCATGGTGAGGCACGTGTGAAAGGCCTGTGTTCGCAGCCACTGTGTGTTTCTTGTTCCTTGTAGTAGGTCTGAGGCCAGTGAGTTTGGGCTGAAGCCCAGGGAACCCCACGCCCCCCAGCACCCCTCCAGGGGTTATCTGCTGTGTGCCAAGTATGGGGCCAGACCCGGTGTGTGAGAACGTCAGCGAGTGAGGCTGTGTGGAAAGCAGGCTGCCCAGGGGGGTGTCCAGCCTGTGCTCCGTCTGAAGCCCTGGCTGACAGCACACACGCCACCAGCCAGACCCGGGCCAGACCCCGCACACTGCCGGCCAGACCCCCATAGACTGTCAGCGTGCTGTGTGGGCCTGCTTGCTCGCAGTCTGGTGACGGTCCCGCCCTGTGATGCCACAGCTCCTGGACATGAAGATCTTTGTGGACACGGACTCTGACATCCGCCTTGTGCGGCGGCTGCGTCGGGACATCGGCGAACGTGGCCGTGACATCACAGGTGTCATCAAGCAGTACAACAAGTTTGTCAAGCCGGCCTTCGACCAGTACATCCAGCCCACCATGCGCCTGGCCGACATTGTGGTGCCACGAGGTGAGCCTGCCCAGGGGATGAGGACCGGGCACTGCCTCTGCCCCGCCCACCCTCCCACCTGCGTTACCCTCCCGCCCTTCCCCCGCCCAGGGAGCGGGAATGCAGTGGCCATCGACCTGATCGTGCAGCACGTGCACAGCCAGCTGGAGGAGGTGAGCCCCGCACCCCTGCTGCCAGCACCCACAGCCACCTGCTCACGCAGCCCCCACGTGTTTCCTGTGTCCTGCCTGCTGTCCGTGTCCGGCCTGCTCGGTTGGCCCTTCATACTGCACGGAGGCAGCCGATTCCCTGAGAAAGGGGCTCCCTGCCTGAGCTGGGCCTTGCACAGAAGGGGGAATTCCTGTCCCTCCCAACCCTTTGGGAGGACCGTTGGGTTTTGGTGCTGAGTCTCACGTCCCAAGCACCCTAGTGGGACCCTGACCTGAGGTCACATGTCCTGGGCTGGCTTTATAATGGAGGCCGGAGGCCTGTGGAGTGGAGCCCCAGGTCCTACCTCTGCCTATACCTAGCCCAGAAGGTGCCCAGGTCAGAGGCCTTAGGGAGCTGGCCCCTTCCCGTGACTGGCAGTCACCTGGGGCCGTCCTTCCGTGGGACTGGCATGTCCATTCCTGGGTGGGGGTGGCCTGGCTAGCCGGGACACGGCAGCTGTGGGCTGTGCTGTGTGGTGACTGCGAGGTGAGCTGTGCGGCCATCACTAACGCACTGCCCGTTCCCTTGTCTCCCTGTGGCTGCCGCAGCGTGAGCTGAGTGTCAGGTAAGACTTCCCACACCTGTCTGCACAGACGGAGGCATTTCCAGCATCCACAGGGGGCTAGGAGTCTGGGTTGTCACCAGGCAGGCAGAGGGTCCTCTCCCTCCGTGCCCACCCGCTGTGGCAGCCCTGCTTCAGGCACAAAAGGGTGGTGTGGTGGCCCCACACTGCTTCTGCCTCCCCTGGCAGGCAGATGAGGACACTAAGGCACACAGAGATTAAGGAACTTGCCTAAGGTCGCAACCCTGACGCTAGGCTGGCCAGACCTCTCTGGAGGTTCCTTCCCAATGGGGCACAGCAGTCCTAGCCAGCACTGCTGGACCCCCAGGGTGGTAGCCACAGGTACGTCCCTCAGTGGCCAGAGGACCTGGGGCTGCATGTCCTCTGTCCGACCCAGGTGGCGTGAGGCCCCAGACTACTGGCCACTGCAGCCAGTGTGCGGAGACCACCAGAAGGAGGTCTGGATGGGCCAGGGTGGCCTCGGAGCTGACCATGGGGGTGGACGGAGCACCTGCCCCCACACAGTGGTCAGCATCAGGGACCTGCCCTGACCTGCCCTCAGTGGGGGCCACCAATCAGGAGAGCCCCTAAGCGATGCTGCTGTGCTGGAAACGCCTGTGGGCCGTGGCCTCCAGCTTCCTGCCATTGCATGAGTCGGCTTGTCTCTCGCCCAGGCCCGGCACCTGTGGGGCTTGTCATGTCAGGTCCTGTGGAAGCCTTTGTTCTGAGAAAAAAAAGTTTCCAGGGTTTCAAACTGGAGAAAACACCTAAACGCAAATACCTACATTTCCCCTTCTCTGGTCAGCGAAGGAAGTGGTGGCCGGCAAGCTCACCTCCCGCCCAGGAAGTGGGGGGGGGGGGCCGCGCCTCCGGGCACACAGCTGCAAAGGCTCCGGGCTCTTCCGGCCTCGTCTCTTCCTCAGGCCAGCTGGTGGCTGCAGGGACTGCCCGTGCTCCCCTCTAAGGGGTCTTTTCTCTGTTCTTTTCCTTTTCTGTAAATCCTTGGGTTTCCTGCCCTGTTCCCTCCCCGAACACACTCTTCACCTGGCGAGCAGAGGAAGCTGCGCTGGGATCTGTGAGGAGAGTGCTCTGTGGTGCCCGCTGTGCGCTGGCTGGGGCTGCTCGCCACCCGCCCTGCCCTCGCCTCGCCTGGGCAGCATGCCCGCCCTGCCCTGCGCTCGCCCCCCTTCCCCCTCCTGGTGTGGAGCAGCAGGGGGCCTCAGAGTCAGCCTTGCGCCCCTCCCCTGAAGGGGCCGCACATCACCTGGGGGGAAGGGTCAGGGCTTGGCCGCAGAGCTCAGCTGTTCGGCAGGGAGAGGTGTGCTGGGTGTAAGACTGCTCCGGAGGCGTGAGGCCCCACCCTCCCGCTGCCTGCACGCAGGAGGGGACCTGGACTGTGAGGGGAGGCCCAGGCCGCAGCCCCTCCCCGCCCCTCGGCTTTCTGCCTAATGGTCAGCTGCTCTGCCTTCCATGCCCTTTAACCTCGCCTTGCCCTGGGTGTGTGTGTGTGTGTGTGTGGGGATGGGGACTCTGCAGACCAGCCGCAGGGAGGCAGCAGCCCCCACTCTACACATCCCCTGCCCCCACCACGTCTGCCCCCCACGCAGTGTGCAGAGTGGGAGGATGGGGTCCTGGGAGAAGACACCCCTTCTCAAGCCCCCAGTCCGTTTGTGTCCCCAGGGCCGCGCTGGCCTCGGCGCACCAGTGCCACCCCCTGCCCCAGACGCTGAGTGTCCTCAAGAGCACGCCGCAGGTGCGGGGCATGCACACCATCATCAGGTGAGGGCCCTCGGCGGGGCGGG